ATGATAAATATAACTTATTTTTGGGTTTCCTACTTATTCATTCGTGTTCTTTATTTAAAATATTTATTTTGTTGACAGTTATGATTTGTCATCTCTTTTTTTTTTTTTGGCTTCTATGATTTGTCATCTAACTCCGGTTGGGATAATAATTTATCTTTCCTAAAGAATAATTTGTCATCTCAATTAGTCAAAGATCGATGGTTGGTTTTATTAGTGTACATACATTTTGATGGCTATGACCGCGCCCTTTTTTTTCATACCAAGTCAAGAAAAAGCAGGACACTAAAAATTAAATTGGCGAATAAACCGAGCGATTTAAGAGTTAACAAGTGACTAAATCAATGTCAATCCAATCCAGTGATAATTAAAATACACACAAAAGTATATATTTGATGATTTAATTTTTTATAAAGTTTTATTTTAATCTTTTAACTTTAAAAAAGTATATTTAATCTTTTCATCTTAAAATTTTTAGTCTTAAATTTTGATTTTTTTAACAATCATAATAGTTTTAAATATTAAACTCAATGTGTTAGTATATAAGAATGTTTTATCAATCATCAAGATCTCAATATCATTATTTTTTTCTCAACAATTTTATGATTAAAGAATTAAAAATATCTTTTTTCTGTCCCTTTTTACGAAAAACATTTGATTAAATCATGTAGATAAAAAAGTTAATTATAATTTTTTGAATACAATAAAAATGTAAAATTTTTTAGTTTTTTTAGATACCTTATTTATGAGGTAGTAAGAGTATAATAGAAGGAAGGAAGAAAATATTACTATGTAATAAAGAGAATTATAGAAAAGAGAAAATGTGTGATACAGAGAGATAATGATTTGAAAAATAAAATAATAAATATATTGAGTATTAAAATAAGTAACTAATGGGTCAAAATAGGAAATTAGCCAAGAAAATTTGAAACATCTTGCAGATGTTTCTTGGAAATAGGGACTAAGCGGAATTGGTTGTTGTTTCTTATAAAAGTTCTACAATATAAGTCATTTTTTACTAAGCATAAATATTGTCTTATTAAGGTGATACTGTTTCAAAACATTGTTTAGCAATAAATGTGTATATCTTTTTTAATGGGAATTCAAATTTTAATTCGTCATATTGTGAGGAACCAATTTTTTACGCTAGACCCAACCTCTACAATATAAGTTATTTTAGCAAATTAATCAATATTAGAAAATGATAGTTAATTCATTAAATATGTTTCAAATTAAATGAGGTTATGAAGAAGAGAGAGAAAATACAAGGAGTTACATTTAAGTATTAATTGTGGAGGCAATTTTTTTTCCTTTTGCTAACAGTTGAGAGGGAAAAATTGACAAATAAATATTAATTATTCTTCAAATGACTAATATTTTGAAACAAACCATTCTTTTTTGAAAGTAACTTGTGTATTGCAGATAGAAGGAAATATCATTTTCCTTTTTACGCATTGACGTAGATATAACAATATATTAATGATACATGATTTGACAAAAATGTTAACATACTGGCTACTATCTGAAGTGGCGGCTAGCAAGTTCTTTTTTGGGGATTATTAGGATGTCTTATAAAAGAGATTTGATCCATTCGTCATGGAAACAGATGGTTTTTCTCTTGAGATGGGATTGTTATGAACTTATGATGGCTTTTTGATTTCCCATCCTTTGTTTCCGACCACGTTATCAGAGTTTCTTCGCTTTTTAGCCATGATGACAGCGACGGCTTATGGGGTTCTCTGATTTTGACTTGGGCTTAGGTTTGTAATGGTGGCATCATTTTATTAGACCAGGTTTTTTTTTTTGGGTTCTGGTCCTTTTGTTTTATTGGGTCTTCCTTGAAAATGTTATGGATGTTTAGCATTTTAATAAAATACATTTTCTGGGGAAGAAAAAATCACTCAGTAATCTAGTATAAAAATTATATTTAGGACTGGAGAAGTAATAATTGAAGAATATTTTTTAGTATAAGAAATAATAACAGGTTCTGATGTTCATATGTTCGTTTATTATTGAGGTTTTTTAAGTAATTAAATTATTATTTTTTGAGACTCAGTAATTTTCCTTTTTTTTTTGAATTGTGAAAAATATGAGTACCTCATGAAGATTAATTTAAAGCGTTCTGTTCATAGTTTGTTAATAATTCATTAAAAGTACGGAAGTCAAAATAAAATTTGGGAATTTTAAAAGAGAAAAGAAATGATATTCCAATCTTGAATAAATTATCTACGACATTTTCTTAATATTCTAATCTAATGTCACCTTTTTGTAATTATATGCATTTAAATACCTTTTGATAGGAACTTTTTGTAATCAATACGGATTTTTTAAAAAAAAACTAAAATGAAGTCTTATATTATGATCAAATCTAACTTGCATTAACTCTTATATTAAAAACAAGAGATATTGAGATAATAAATACACGTAGATATATTTTAAATGAATATTATATATATTTTTGCCAACCAATGTTATTTGTGTGTATATATATTAATATATATATATGATAATCATAATGAACTGCTCTATTAAAAATAGGCATGTCTTCTTCCGGCGAAAATCTAAATCCTAGCTTCTCATGCTTTAGGGACTGACCTCTTCTCCCATTTTATCCTTTGAATAAAATTTTCTCTTGTTTTTTTTTAAATTATGAATAATGAAATACTAGTATATAATTTTTTTTCAAATGTTGATGTGATTTTATCATTTTTAACAGAATGTTAAGTGCTAGTTTAAAAAACAGACTATACTAGGTATTTTATTTACCCAAATTAAATATAACTCAATCGAACCATAAGCCCACAATCCTTAGGCTTACTATAAATACAATCACCTCACTAGAATTTAAAAAAAAAACGCGACTAACTTGTTAATTTTGTTTGAAAATATTTTGTTTTAACATTTACTCATATTTAAAATCACGAACCTTAGAGTCATATTGGAAGATCATATCAAATTTTTAAAGGTTAAGTTGCATTCTCAGATGTGTTTGGTATCACGAAATATTTTGTAATGCATTTAGCATCTCAAAATAATTTTCAGGAACATTCAATAGTCAGGAGTATTTTTTTCTTTGATACTAGATGCACTAAATATTTTAGGGTGTTGTCAGCACCAAAAAATATCTTATTTTTGCTCAAAAAAACTTAAGGGAGCAGATGCATCGCAGAATATTTTTACCTGAAAAAATATTTTGGATTGTTAGATGCATTATAACCCAATTTTTAATTACAACTCACTCAAAAACCAAAAACAATTTACTAAGAACTAAACTAAAACTCTTGATATGGCCGAGGCTCCCGAGTTCCAAAGGCTTCAAAAAGAACAATATTTATATTAATTTTTTATATTTATTATATTAAATTATTTAATTATGTATGATTACGTGTTTTAAATTCTTTTTATATAAACCTATAATTAAAATATTATTAAATATTAATATTTTAAAATAATATATAGCTATATGTAATTAAAAAATCTAACATAATAAATACAACAAACTGGAAAACTTTTTCCTTTTAAAAGCAACAACTTCTTTCTCACCCAATCAATCAATGTCAACTTTAATACACTGGCAAAGCTCTTCTAGTCCTGTAGATGACATTAATAAGCATGAGTGAAAGATTTGGAAAAAAGAAGAAGTCTCTTTCTTGTTTTTGATGAGTGAAAGAGAAGTCTGTATGCCGAAAATGGTTACGTAAAGCCACGTTCTTCATCAATTATAAATTTATACGGAAGGTCTATACTCCTTTTGATTATTTAATTCTCTTCCGCTTTTTAATATAAGATTTATTTAATTAATTTAATTAGATTAAAAAGATTAGATAAGTTAGTTAATTATTAAAAATATAATATATTTTTTTTAAAATACCATAATCATCTTTCTTAAGATCATTCCTCCTCCTCCTACTTGATTATAATTGAGGGAGTGTTTACAGAAGTAATTTAAAAAAATTGATAAATATGAAAAATATGTCTTATATTTAAGATCAAAATCAACTTAACAATTAGTTCCTATATTAATAAGTATAAAACCTAATTGATTAATTTTAAAAAATTATTAAATTACTTTAAACTATTTATATTTATCTTTTTTTAATTAATTTATCTTATTTTTAAATTAATATATAATCTAATGATATATATAAATATTTTACGACTATAATTAAAAAATTTAATAATTTCTTAATTTTTTAAAATTAGTTAATTAAATTTTATATTAAGTAATACTAATAGGGGCAATATTAATGTGGCTATTTAACGTATTCAAACTATCAAGGAACGACAAAAATCATAACGTGTGAGAAATAAAAGAGGAGGGAGAGAGGTGGGACAGACAAAATCACGTGTTTTAGTTCATCTTGGCCTTCTCTTCCTATTTTGATGAGTTTGGGTACAAATGGATACACCGAAATAATACATACTCTTCCGCTTTTTATTATAAAATCTTTTTAACTAATTTAATTAGATTAAAAAAATTAAGTAAATAAATTAATTATAAAAAATATAATATGTTTTTCTTAAAATATTATAATCATCTTTTTTAATATTTTTTCTTTCTCTTCTATTTAATTATGATTGTGGGAGTATCTACTGGGCTAATTTAAAAAAATGATAAATATAAAAAATTAATTTTATATTTAGAACCAAAATCAGTTTCATAATTAGGTCTCATATTAAGTAGGGAAAGAGTACATATATTTACCCACACGTGTGTGAGTGTAGATTCATGTACGTTTGGCAATTGGATCGTGACGGCTCGACGCCTGGACAAACATGTCAGTCTGAGCGTGAAATTGTATAAAAAAGTCGCCATCTTTGAACGTGATTCCGCCAATCGCCTTCGTTATCGTATTTCCTGTTCATCTTCAATTCTGATCTCATTTTTTTCCTTCACAATTTCTCCCTGTTCTTTTTCCCTCTCCACAAAAATTATATTACGAAAATGACCCGCATGAAGTTTCCTATTGTGTTTCTTCCCACAAGGCCTCCAACTCAATGCCGGTTTACTTTATGACGTGTGCAATGATGCTCTCTGGTAGCGTCTTCGTCCTTTTATAAAGGCCCGTGTCTGTAGCTGTTTGTTCTTCACTCCTTCGTATCTCTTTTCCGTTTCTCACCCTCAGGTCTTCTCCAGGAATTTGATTGTAAGTTTGCGTGTCTGTCTCAAGTCTTGATTCTTCTCTTCTGGGTTTTCAAAACAAGAAGTTCTGGTCTTTGACCTCTGATTCTGATTTTATTTTCTGGGTTTTGTGTTGTCTGAACGGAAGTACGTAAAGGGTTTATTAGGAAGGAGAATCTTGGGGTAGACAAACATGGCTTCCAGCAACGACGACACCAACAATGTCAATAACGATAATGATAATAAGGACAACGGCAATAGAGAGCCATTGCTGAAGAAGCATTACTATGAGAACTGTCCTGGTTGTAAGGTGGATCGAGCCAAAGAAATGACCCAAGGCGTACCTGTAAAGCATCTTATCAACATTTGGTTGATAACACTGTGCAGCTGTAAGTTTTTATTTTCTTCTCATGATTTTTTTTGAGTAGTAATTCATGAAACTTTTAATGGGTTATTTTATTTTGAAAGTGCTTGGATGATTAGTTCTGAGAGATTCATGCTAAATTGAGAGCTTAATTTTAATGAGTAGTAGAAGTACGATGGGTTTTGTATCCATCGTTAATTTTTCTTCCTGGGGAGCTTATTTCGTTTGAACTGTTCGAACAAACCATCGAATTTTCAACCGGATATATTTTGTTTAGCATCAGACAGAAATAGGTCCTTATGGAAGGAAATGAGCCAACTTGCCTCTGTTATTTAGTTGAAATTTTTTTTTTCCGTCCCTAAGACTAATCATTCTCAAAGACATCTTAGAATTGTAAAATATTGTTTCTTTCAAGTTCAACATGTCCTTTCTGGCTCTGGGCGGAATATTCTCTGTTCTGATTATAGTTGGAAAGCCCAAAATTAATCTAAATTACTGTTCTTTTTTTTTTCTTTTCTGGGTAGAAGAGCATACTCGGTGAATGATTCAGTCGTGGTCTCAAAAGACAAACATAAACTTCATGTTTTGTGGATGCAATTTAATGTATTTAAATGAGTGGTTGTCACCAAATCTTTATGTTACTTGTTTGTTTTTTTTGTTTTTGGAAAGTAGCTGATTTTACTTTCTCGTGCTTTGTGCAGCGCTGCCTATATCATCTCTCTTTCCGTTCCTTTATTTTATGGTGAGTTTGGTTTTCCACTTGCCTATGCTGTTACTTACCTTCTTCTAAGGGAATATTTTATTTGGATATTCCAAGTTATTAATCTCAAAAGAATAATTTTGTCGGAAATAAGTTTTAATGTCCGCATCTGGCCCTGAAAACGACTGCCACTTAATTCAAGATTAGAACTGAAACTCATATGGAGTTGGTTAAATTAATTTTCTTCAGGTTGATATTCTTTTATTTTCCTAATTAATTTGATCTCTTAATTATCCGCTTTTCTTTGAAATATATATTTTAAAAAATTGGTTCTGTTTTGTAGGTCTACAGTTGAAGAAACTTGTGCTCTTAATTCTTGTTCCAACATTGAAGTAATTTATTTCCCAAAAATAATGAACTTTAAATTCACATATCCGACTCTTTCTTCTTTTCCCTTTATTTCCTCTGCGACAAGATGAAAAGGTTTTTACTCAATTAGAAAGTAACTTTCTTTTCAAATGAGAAAGACTGCAGTAAACCTCAATTCAGGCTTACAAATAGTTGATAGTCTAACTAATCACTGACATGAAAGATGATTGTCTCACCTTCTGCTTTCTCATTCATTATGAAATAACTCAAGAAATTAAACCTTTGATAAATCTTCAACTTTATTACTGCTTCTAACTTTCTTAGCATCTAAGAGCATCCTCTATAATTCAAGCTTGTAAAATGACACAAGTTTTTACTTGCAGATTCGAGATTTTGGTATTGCAAAAACAGAAGCAGATATAAGTTACTATGCTGGTTATGTGGGTAAAGTTCCTCTTATTCCATCCATTCCACTGATGAGTATGATAACAATTTACTGACTTTTAAGTTAAGTTACTGACCTGATGAAATTACGTTGTAGGATCTGCATTCATGTTTGGCAGAGGATTGACATCTGTGCCATGGGGAATAGTGGCTGATCGATATGGTCGAAAACCTGTTGCAATTTTGGGAATTATTGCAGTGTAAGCAATTCTTTCACTGATTTGGATGGTCTCTTTAAGCTTTAAGATAATGTTTTTAATATTGATATCACTTCTTATTTGAATTCAGCATTGTGTTCAACACTCTATTTGGCTTTAGCACCAGTTTTTGGATGGCTGTCACCACAAGATTTTTTCTTGGTGGCTTAAATGGATTGCTTGGACCTATGAAGGTACCATTTATAGATGCACTGGTACTTATTCAAAAGTGAGTGAACTGATATTGTGGTCTTTCAAAAGTACACTCTGGCTCAATTTGGTCCTCCAAAGTTTTAATGGATCAATATTTGTCTTTAATACTGGTTTTTATGTAAAGCCTCTTCATAGAAAATTCATAAAGAGGTGTGAAATGGCTTGATGTAAAGCTGATGTGATCGCAAGGTGCCTACTGTTCATCATAAGATATGCTATGACAGGCGCCATCCTGTTTTTGCCATGGCAAATTTGAATGATCAAGGGGCGATATTAACTTTGTATTGGTCCATGTTACCCATGTTTAATAGTTATTTATTAATGGGCTTAAGGCGAGGCAGATATTGAAGATGAAATACTCTTTGGAAGACTTAAATTGAAAGTTCCATCTGAAGTTGAGGAGATCGAAATGAGACGACATTTTTAGTTGTCTTAAGTATCAATTTACTCTATAAATATTTCATCTACCAGGACCAGGGCACAATCAGAAGTTTGAATTGGTGTACTTGATGAGAAGTTAATCTTTTTGTTTGTTCTTTACAAGACTTATTTCTATTTGATTGTGACCTCCCCTGACATATTCACATTTCACTAGGCTTATGCTGTTGAAATTTTTCGAGATGAATACCAAGCTATAGGACTCTCAACTGTAAGTCTAATTTACTTTGATCTACGCTAAGTGTTTAGTAGCACATCTTCTTCATGGTAATTTGTTGGTGTGATTTGTTTTCAGATCAGTGCAGCCTGGGGAATTGGTTTAGTCATTGGCCCAGCACTGGGAGGCTATTTGGCTCAGGTACTTTTTTCTTTGCACTGGGCAGTAAACTATATGTTTAAAATAGGCTTTGGCATTTGCACATCATAAGATAATTTGTTTCATCCTCGTGAGAAAGCCATCTAAGTGGAACTCCTGATAGACCTGGTGTTTATCTTTATCTTTAAGGGTCGTTTGACTTACAAAAAGTAATAAAAATAAAAGGAATAGACAAATCTTTTGAGGATGAAAATGGTGTATGTACCTTACTTGAAAAAAATAATAACCTCGACTCTTTTTGTCCTATCTAGAATGGAAGGAGAAAACGATTTTGAGGAGAAACCTGACTCTTCTTTAAATTTTACATTTTGAAAGCTATTTGTTGCCGTTCCATGTAAATAGGCATATTTAGACAGCTGATCGCCTGAATCTCTGTATTTTCCAATAAAGAAAGGGATGGTATGTCAGATTTTCCTGGCACAATTAAACAAATACTCCTTAGGTGTTCCACGTATTTCAAATATGGAAGTTTTTGTGCCTATGTGTTTTTGCGGGAGGAGCATACTTATCGCTTGTTCCTCTACTAATTTGGGAAATTATGTATTGCAGCCAGTAGAGAAATATCCACATATATTCTCGAAAGGTTCATTTTTTGACAAGTAAGTGCACTTTTCCTACTTCTGGATAATGGTAATATAAAGTGTTCCAATTTTGGCTTCCATTGTTTTGTATTTTCCTTTATTTTTTTGTTGAGATGCTTATAAAGTTCCCTTGTGAAAATACACGACCTGCAGGTTTCCATACTCCTTGCCCAGCTTGATAATATCAATCTTTGCGGTTGTCGTATTAGTTTCCTGCATCTGGCTTCCGGTATGTATAGCAAAGCAACCTGCGTACCTATCAATAAGTGTAAACTATATTTATACTAAGGGTATCACAATTCCAAGCTCAAACTGATTAATTCTTAGCACATTTAATTTGACTATCACAAACCCACTATTCTGATACTAGGCTTCAAAGGTTCTTGATCTGCCTTGTATAAATATGTCCTCTTGATATTTTGAGACTACTAGTGTCCTTCAATTAAAAAATATGATTCCTATCTGGTTGTGGCATACTGTTTCTTGTTAAGTGAATTAGTGAATCTGCTGAGATATCTTTTTGTGTACAGAGCCTCATAGTTGTTAAAGCATTGAAATCTGTCTATACATTTTTAGCTTTTTCTATTGCTTATTTATTTTACAGGTCTTCACATGATTTACTATATTAGGCAGAGAATTACATATACTATATTTTGAACTGTTTCTTTTTGACAAATAAGAACCATTTTCAGATATCATAATACTATTTTATAAAATCTGTGATGCTGCAGGAAACATTGCACAAACACAACGATAGCAATGAGTCCCATCAGGATGTAGAAGCTTTAGAAAATGAAGACACGGTAAAGAGAGTTCAGAAAGATGAAAACCTCCTATTGAATTGGCCCTTGATGTCATCCATTATTGTTTATTGTGTTTTCGCACTACATGATATGGCTTATCAAGAGGTATGTTCCCTGCTTAATGACAACGCTACTTGTTTTTATGCATTTCCTATCAAACATGTGCCGTTTTGGACTCTTCTTTATTTTCTATCTTGTTATTTGTACCTATACCCTATTTTGATACTTGAACAATGCTGTGTTTAAATATGAAGTTAATTCACTGATGATTTTTTGTGTTACTTTAGTTTTATCATATTGCTCTTATTTCATTCTTCCAAAGGCAGTATCATACCTAAACAATACTATCCAATATTTCAAGGATCAAATATCTTATAGGGTTGAAATAAATCATATTCTTAGGTACTAAAGTGATGCCAAACATTCTTGGAATATTGAATTGAATATCTTTCAAGGAACATGGGGTTTCTATTATTTCTTTCTCCCTGTATGCTGAGTTACCACTATTTTACTTTCTGCAGGTTTTCTCGCTATGGGCTGTCAGTCCTCTAAGGTTGGGGGGTTTGAACTTTACAACTAATGATGTTGGTAACGTTCTTTCAATATCAGGTACATTCTTGACGGCTATGAATTTGTACATATAGATTAATGTTGTAAATTATGTGGTTCCTTTCTAAACTTTCATCCCTAGTTATTATATAAATTTGACTGCATTACATTAGGTCATATACTAACTTCCACTCAAGCTTATTCTATCAACCGGTCTTGTTAAGTAATTTGGGCAAAACTCTTGATAGGCACCTAGATGATTTCTGTTACTTGGTTTTGTGTTGGGGAAACTTAGATGAAGTCTTCTCAGTGTTTGTTTTCAATTTCTCCTTCGAAAACATAATTTGCGGAGTAAGTTTTTCAATTACTTAATTCTGCACTATGAAGACAGTAAGCTTTTGTTGGAGAACTTGATAGCAAACATAGAAAGACTGCACCTAAGTTCTGTCCTTTTTTATTCCGGGTTATGCATTTATTTATATGGAGTCTTACTCTGTTCGGTCGCCTAGTTACTGCTTCTGTAACCTTATACTGTTGTATGTTGGCATGCTTATCCCCACGTATCATCCCCCCATTTTAATAAAGTCTCTTTCACGTGCCAAGTTTTTTTGAGTCTCAAAGAATTTACTATTATTTCCATAATCATTTGATATCTGTTGAATGAAGTTGTTTAATAAAACGATTTTGTATTGGACTTCTTATATGAATTTAGATTTATTTAGTCTTCCTTGTTGTTCATGCAAGTAAAATAGCCAAGCACTAAGTAAATGAAATTTTCAGTTAGTTTTAAGACAGAACAGATGTGCATGGCAGAGATACAGCATTATGTCATTTTCTATGCATCAGTCTACCTCTCTGTGCTCAGCGATTATGCTGATTAATACTGACTTTGCTCAATTGGTTAGGTTTTGCCCTTTTGATGTACCAACTTTCCCTTTATCCTACGGTGGAGAAAGCTTGTGGAACTGTTAGACTTGCTCACATTTCGGGGGTCAGCTTTTGCTCTCAAGCAACAGTTCTATGATCTGGCATTTTCAGTGTTTGTTATTTTAACCATTCTGTTTTTTTGGTTACCATTTGCAGGCTATCTCCATACCCCTCTTGCAAAGTTACCCTTTCATAGCATTGTTATCAGGCTTCACACTGCATCTATTGATCACTAGTGCTTCTGTCCTCAAATATTGTCTCTCTGTGAGTGCATCTGTTTTTCAACCTTACCATTTGCGATAGTAACAAGGCAAAAGTATATTTTTTGATCTTTTAACTTTTTATAAGATTTCAGTTTGATCCCGCAACTTTAAAAAGTATTTTTTTAGTCTTTTAACTCCTAACATCGGTTGGTCTCAAATGATGATTTTTCATAACAATTTATTATTATTTTGAAAATTAAACTTAATACCTAAGCATTTGAGAATGTTTTGTCAACATTAAAATTTCAACATCAGAATTTTTTATTAATGACCATGAGGGGTAAAGGACTGAAAAGATGTTTTATAAAATTAAGGAACCAAAACAAAGTTTTGTGTGAAGTTAAAGGGCTAAAGGTATAATTTTGCCTAGTAACAGTGGGGGGTTAAGGTGAAGTAGAACAGCTGGAAAACTTTATTCTGTTAGATATGAATAGTAGCAATTGTCCCCATAACAAAATTATTGCAGAATAGTAGCTCAAATGTACCTTTTTTTCTCAACAGGCCAACAAGCTTTCTTTTCTGTTTTCTTGCATTAAACAAACACACTTTTAAGTTTCCACATTTAAATGCTGGAAACAGTAAACAGTAAACTCCATCATCTCCTTCATGTATTATGAGCTTGCCTGATTGTAATGTTTTTGGTTTTTGGCTGGTCCCAGGCAACCATTATTACTGGATTATTTCTTCTGCAAAACAGAGCAGTGGTAATTTTTTCCCCCCAGTTCAGTTCATTATTTATTACTCCATCCGTTCTTTTTTATATGTTAGTACAATGTTTTGAATATGTTTGGTCCTTAACGTACATTTTAGAGATGTCTAAAATTTTAATGCACTTTTTCCGTTTTTTCTGTTTTTGCCCCTAATTAATTTTATGTCTCTGCATTAATTAATTATAACGGTTTCCCACTCATTCTCTCCCTCACCCACCTTTTATATTTGGAAAAACAAATAGTACATTTGTTACTCATTTACTGCCTATCAATTTTAACTAACTTCTTAATCTATGTAATACGGTTATTTGAAACCTGTAAAAAGGACTGGAGAGAGTATTAGTTTGTTCTTTTTTAGTTGTGAGATTATCAATATTTTTTGGGCTAATACGGCATGTTGTTTTGGAAAAACAGGAACAACACCAAAGGGGAGCAGCTAATGGAATTGCTATGACTGCTATGTCAATATTTAAAGCAGTTGGCCCTGCTGGAGGTGGTGCAATGTAAGTGTGCCTGTGATTTTTTTTTTTTTTTAATTTTCTTTTGCATGACCTATCATTTTTTAATGAAAAATATTGCCTACAAACTTAGCTTAAATGATTGGATTGAACTTCATTGACTCTCTGAGTTCAATTTCTGCCATGTGATCCGTTGTTGCTACAATAATTTATCTAACTCCTAACTTTTTAAATTTTTTAAGGAAGAATTTCACAAGGTGATGTACATGTTTACAAGTTGTAAACATGCCTTGGTTTAATATGCTTGTTTACCAGAAATATTGTTAAACTGCAGTCCACTGATTTTGAACTTGACCAATGCAGATTAACTTGGTCCCAGAAGAGGTTAAATGCTTCTTTCCTCCCAGGTATGAACCTGTTTATGTCAAGTTCTGTTTCATATGAAGGGTGGCAACTAAGTAACTGATAAGGCTATGATGGATTCAAGTTTATTTTAAGAGATTTGTGCCATCCAAGATAAATGCGAGAAGAGTTTTATCTCGTAAAATGCAAAAGTAATCTTTTGAAGGGGCGCCAAACACCAAACGAAAATCAGAACATCCATCCCATGTGTTTCTAATACCTAGATGGATTTTCGTTTTAAGGCAGAGTTTGACGTGTAAATTGCACTGCTTATGACCTGTGAAAAATGTGACTTGGTATAGACTTTTTAATGTTTTACTTCAATGACCTCACTAACTATGGGAAATGTAACTGCAGGATCTCACTTGGTGTTCTTCGTCCTGAACCTAGTAGAAGCACTTGGAGTGTTGATGATGTTCAAACCATTTCTGGCCGAGAAAAAGACAGCCCCATTAGAACAGTTACAATGATATCAGTGATGACATAATGTTGCTGCTGAAACCTCAAGTGATGAATAATGAAAGCAACATCCATTAATTTTTGAGATGCTTTCGTGAAGGAGGCGACGATGACGACGATAATGATGCTTCGGCTGATAGCAGCCAGCAAGATCAGTGAGTAGACGAACATAACTTTGTCCAGCCTGCAGGCTTTCCTTCTTACCCTTCACAGACTTCTCTCTCAGAAGCCGGGAACAAGAAAACTAACTAAAAAGAGGGAGAGAAAAGTGGAAAGAGCAAGAAAATTAGATTCTTCATGTGGATTCTTGTGTTAGAATGGAATCATTTAACTCAGAAATGTTTGTGATAAGTTCATTGTATTGTTGTCTATTTAATTGTAATTTTTTTTCCCGTGGGCAAGGTAATGGTTATTTAATATTTATTATGGAAACAAGGTGGTCATTGTAGTATTTATCGTCTTAATATTATATTGAATGGAATTTGAGTCTCAGGCTAGCAATCTCCTCAAAGACCAAGTTATTTACCATAAATGAAGTAATTTAAGTCCCATTCCGTGCGTATGGTAATGTTTTGATAGATTAAATTATCTAGTTGAAAAAATGACAAAATTACTTACTAAATTTAAAACAAATAGATTATGCTGATTATTTTTGTAGTAGTTTGACATGTCAAAATTACTTATTTGTAGGTATATTTTTGGTTATTTTCCTTATTTAGCTACATGTCATTTAAATTTAAGATGAAATGAAGTACTATAAAATTTTGATAAATTAGAAGAATTAACTTTCAATAAAGTGAAAATTTGAAAGGCGAATAATTAGCTTTAAAAATATACCGAACTACCTATTATTCCTACGCAATATATATATATATATATATATGAAAGTTAATAATTAAAATATTTTTTTAAAAAACATTGCACAATTATATAATATAATTATTTTATTTAATTTATTTAGACTTCAAAAATATAAATCTCATCTAATGTCTCTGTAGGAGCACAACCTGATCATATGAGTGGCCCCGAAGCTATAACTTTGGTTAAGTGTTTTTTTCCAGGTAAGAACTTTGGCTAAGTTGATACTCCTTCCGTTCTTAATATAGAATCTAATTATTGAGTTAGTTTTGGTTCTAAATATAAGACTCATTTCTCATATTTATCAATTTTCTCTAAATTACCCATATGGATACTCCTTCAAACACAATCAAATAGAAGAGGGAGATGTGGTATTAAAAAAGATGATTATGATGTTTTAGGAAAAATATGTCACTTTTTTTATAATTAACTAACTTACCTAACTTTCTTAATCAATCAAATTAGTTAAATGGGTTTTATATCAAGGATACAATAACTTCTTACCATGGTTTGTTACTCTTCTTTATTTGCTTGTCGTCTTTTTCTTGTATAGAATGTGCGTTTCGTTTGATTTGGCAATAGTAGATGTTTGTTTGGGGGAAAAAAAATTCTGATAAGTGAGAAGTGACAATAAAAACCTTCTTATGAGTGAAAGACCGCGGATTCGATTCCGTTTATAATTTCAAGTTACTTTCTCAATCCTTATTTATATGTCCTCTTTTGATTTCTAATTTGTCTCCAAATGTAAATTTCAAAACCAATTTCTAAGAATAATAAATATTTATTTTAAAAAATCATTCTTAAAATATAAAAAATAGTTCAAGTTTAAAATATGGTGTCATTGAATAGAGAATGAAAATTTAAAAAAAATCTTTAAACGTAAATTTTTGATATTTTTGCTGAGTAAAATACAAGTTTTCTCCTTTTAATTTATATGAAGTTTTAGTTTAGTCTCTAGAATTGAAAAAGTTTTTTTTTTGATAATTAAGAATTTAAAAATATGTTTTAAAAATTTAGTTTATCAGTATTTTTTTGGGTGAAGTATCTCTTAACACCCTGAATTTATTTTATAAGTGCATTTAACACCCTAATCTTTTAAAGGATGCAATTTTACCCTTCATTTTTTAAATTTGGAGCAATTTTTGACAGATGCCTAACACTACTTCATCCTATTTTTTTCATATCAAGAGTCCATTTAAGACTTTACCTTGCGGCACCGGAGGAAAGAGAATAAGGTCACGTGTTTTCCTTTTATTTTAGCTGTTCAGTCATCACTTGACCTTGGCCTCTGATGCATTTACGACTTCGCGCGCCCGCAGACGTGAAGATGATATACACTAATTCTGATATTAAATATAAGAATTAATTAATTAATTTAAATAGATTAAAAAATAAATTAAATTAAATTAATTATTTACAATAAATTGATTTTGTTTTTTTAAATATTTTTTATTAGTTAGAAATATCATTATTAGAAAAATTATTTAAAAGAATAGATAAATATAATAAATAAAATAAAATAAAATCTTATAGTTATAATTAAAATAAAATTCAAACGAGATTTTATATTAATAATAATAATAAGTAATATATATTTCTATAATATACGTATTTTATTCAAATACGTATATTATAGAAATATGTATGTATATATCAAGCTTTCATTTATGTATGTATATATCTATTAACTATAAATTATTATCTACGCCTTCTATTAACTCTTGGTTTTTCCTATGACTTTCAAAACAGTAGAATAATGATGCACCTTAATTTTTAATTTCTGTAATTATTTTGAGCCTTTATATTTTTTAATAATTATTCCTTCTTTATTTTCCTATATTTCCAACTCAAAAATAAACTTTTATAGAAAAATTCTTTTTCTCGAAATATAAACTAAATATTTAAGTCTTTTTGGACTTCTTCAATTTATATCTTCAAAATTAGGAATATTACAAGAAATGTCGTCAAAGTTGAGGCCATCATTTGTTTGATGGTTGGATGACAAAGAGCGGTATAAAATTCAATAAATTTACCTATAGTTCTCTAGTGGCCGGTCACTACTTGATAAACAAAATTAGTGAGTTGAGAAAATTAAACTTAACATAGTTTGGCTTTTGATATTTTTTCTATTATACCATTTTGATTAATATACTATGTAAAATAAAGATGATTGATAAGACACTTCAACAACTCTCAATTCAAGTTTAAAAGTAGGATTAGATGGTTGAATGGTCTTGATGTATGATGATAGTATTAAACTAGGAAAATTAAAAGTAAGTTTGAGAATTTCAGATTTCATTAACAAAAACTAATTGAAGCAAAATGGAGAAAATTATGTAATATTATTTTGAGGGCTTAAAAATTCTATGGTATCAGAGTATTAGTTCATTCCAAAACCTTCTTCCTGATACCACAAATGTAACATCTAATTCTTTTATATATTAATCTTCCAGTCATACTAAACTATCTCCAAATACTTCTTCTTATGAAGGAACATACAGTTATATCAACGATTACATTTACCTTGATAAGGTGACGAGTTATGTGAAGCGTAATCATATTACGTGTAGTTCTTTGGGTGGCTACTACTTGATACACAATATCAGTGAGTGCATTAAAGTCTTTTTTAAGATGGTTAAGTGTGGTTTGTCTCTTGATATTTTTAGTCATAGAATTTTGATTGATATAATATGTAAAATAAAGATTGTTGAAGTGACTATAGATCTTTTTATGGAAATGAAGGGCAAGGATTTGACTCCTAATATTGTTATATAATTTTCTGTCAAATAACAAGTAGGATGTGAAATATATTTTTATATTCATATAATTATTATCTATTATCCCCTCTAATCTTAGCATAATTAAACTTAGCATGGTTTGGCTTTTGATATTGTTTTTGATTATAGCATTTTGATTAATATACTATGTAAAACAAAGATGATTGATAAGGCACTTCAACAACTCCCAATTCAAGTTTAAAAGTAGGATTAAATGCTTGAATGGTCTTGATGTATGATGATAGTATTAAACTAGGAAAATTAAAAGTAAGTTTGAGATTTTCAGATTTCATTAACAAAAACTAATTGAAGCTGTAATATCCTTTAAAAAAAAAAATTCAAAAAAAAAAGTAATTGAAAAATAATATAATATAATAATATTTTATTATAATTAAAAAAAAAAAAAACAAAAGGTCCAACTTTCCACCGAAATATCGGTGGAAAGTTGGAGGGAGGCATGGAAATTTTGGGGAGGGGGCGTGGAAAATTGGGGGTTGGGTTTGAAAAAACCCCCTCCCCCAATAATTGTGTGGGGGTGTTAAATACCCCCCACAATTCATTTTCCCCCCCCACGGCAAACAGAAGAAAGAGAGAAAGAGAAGAAGAAAAGAGAGAAAGAGAGGGCCGAAGTGTGTGTGAGAGATAGAAGCATACCGGTGAAGCAGAGGGCAAGCTTTGCAGATATTTTAGGTACATGAAACTATCTCTTTTCATCAAACTTTCTTCATAAATATTTCATATATATTTTATGCTTCATAATAGTAGTATTACCCTAGTGATTAAAGAAAATTTTGAGACTTATATATGATATAAGTATTGAGTTTTGACAAAAGATGACTATAGAAATTTAGAAATAAATAAGTTGTTAATTTTAATCGGTTTAGATTTCTCTATTTGCTAGTTTTAGTATTTAAAATTAATTTATTTAGTGGAAAATCTGTTATGTATGAGATATGCCATATTTTTACCGATTAAATTTAAGTTAAATAATTTATTTGGGTTGTTTGATATATTATTGAGATTTTAATCTGTTTGGATTGGTCCATTTGTTGGTTTTAGTGCTTAAATGGATTTTTCTAGTTGAAAAATATGTGATATATGATTTATATCATATTTTACCGGTTAAAATTAAGTTGAATAATTTAATTGAGGTGTTTAACATATTATTAAGATTTTAATCGGTTTATTTTTATTTATTGGGTGACTGGAGGTTTTAAAATAATTATTGTAGCTAAAAAGTTTATTATTTATGGAAATATATATGGTAGTTATACCATTAAAGTTTTGATTAGATTATTTATTTATAAATATTTGAAATATTATTGAATTTTTGATAGTTTGATTTTGAGGTTTAAACTTAAATGAGGATTTTTAGAGTTTATAATATAATAATTTTATATTTAGAAATTGTTGAAAATCCTTTTTATTAAGGTAAATAATTTGGAGGTGGTAAATAAATAATTTGGGGTTGTTAGAAATTTTAAATTGTTGCTAAAATACTTAATAATTTTTGGGTTATGAGAGTTGTGGGAATTTAGAGTAAAAATTTAAATAATATAGAGAAGTTTAATTAATTAATTAATTTATATTAATATGTGGTTATATTAATTGTGTAGATTAATTATTGGTTGAGCAAAGGATTGACCTTGTGGTAATCCTTAGTATTGCTTTGGCGAGAGGTAACCACTTTCCACTTGTTATATGTGCTAATATGTTGTTTGTGAGTATTTTGCTATTTTTAGAATAATATTTGATATTTGGAACTTGAGTAGATATGTTATATCTTTTGAGCTATGAAAATTGTCTTGTGGGATTTTTGGAATTGTGATTGAGAAGTTTGGAAAAGATATATGATTT